TCATGTGTTAAGTGGGTGTCCCAATCATCACCTCCGGTACTTTTTCTGATTTCTGTAGCAAGAGGTAACTTGGAGTGTTGCCTCTCCTCTAGGATTGGTTGCTGGTGTATCACAGGCAACCTCGAAGTTATTTCTCAAGTTTCACAGCAGATCTTGAGATCCCATTCACACGCGTTGAGGAAAGTAGGCTTTGCTGGGATAGTGTCTCGCCTAGTAGACTGATTTGAATGTTTGTCTATTTTGTACGTTTTAGTTGTTTGCTACACGAGACCTCTTACTCAATAAAACTGTGGATGTGTACGAAGCATATCGCAGAGAGCAGATAAGCGCCAGGTAATGATACAAAACAATTTGAGCAATTGGTTTCTTCTTCAACATCTTTCGTTACACGACTCTTCTTTTGTTGCAGTTTCGACATAGAAGATTCGTACAACTCTCTGACAAGTCTTCTCAACGAAACAGCTGGGTGAGTTAAGTATCTTCTTATAAATTGCGAATGCATTTTTATTACGATTCTTGTCAATTAACTGAAAGCTACAGAGCAGTACTTTAACCCTTTCACTCCCAAGAGCGATTAAAACATAATTTCTCCTTACAATATTAATACAATATCAAGCAGCCAAGTGATGAGAATAGGGAAAACTATCAATTAGGAGATCATCATTTGGTCTAGCACCAAATTCTCTGAACAAATTTTATAAGAAATGAATGTCAGACAGTAAGGAGAATTTAATCGAGATATTGCGAGTGAAAGGGTTTTCTTTGTCTTTTTTTATTGCTGTTCAAGGTGCTTCTAACATTTAGGTTGGTGTGAGAAACCCCAGTGTGTGTCTGTTCTTCTAAACGTCTTAACAGTACTCTTATGTGATGTTTCTAATTAAACTGTACAAGGTGGTTTTAACTTTTCATTCAGTGGACGAAACCCTGAAGTGTGACCATTCAGATGAAAGCCACTGAGCGGTACTTTCACGTCGTACTGTTTACGATAAGAATTTCTTAACCTTCTGTGTTTGCAGATTTTCCAGTGTTAGTAAAGGCACCACATGGTCTGTTGTCTTGTACAGTATCACAGCTGCAGCAGCGTGTAGAGAGCAGCATTGGCGCGAGGCGTCCCAAGCTTTCTATCGGGTCTCCATGGTGTACAGCAACATGCAGGCAACCGCGTGTGCAGGTACCTTGTACCAGCTAACCATTTTTCCTAATCTTTCCCTGCACTTTCCTCGCGCTTCCCCGCCTTTTCTCACCCTTTCCCGCAGTTTATTACACTTTTCCCACAAAGTCACCACACTTCTCCCTAGTTTACCGCAAATCTCCCGCAGTTTTATCGCACTTTTATCGCATTTTCATCACATTTCATCGCACTTTTACACCATTTTTAGCGCACTTTCCTCGTGCATCCCTCACACTTTCCTCTTTTCCCGTATTTCCTTCCTTCCCCGCGCGCCAGTACAGTCTCTTGTTACTCTATTTTCGGGTACAAGTTTCTGAAGTAGTTTCTTTCTCAATCAAAACAAAAGTTGTCAAGGAAAATAAGGACCAATTCTACCATAACTGATATATTCCGGAATAACTTTCGAAACTCAATCGAAAATCGCTCTAAATTTGATGCGAGAACCCACCTCTCCAAGAAAAATCTGTTTCAATACTAAAGCTTTTTTCCATGATCTAAGTTGACAGTTTGTTAGATGCACACTGGATGTGCTGCCAAGCAGAAGATTACTTGACCGCCCTACAATTTCTTTACAATGGGTTCATCCGGGCATTGGCTGCAAAGGACTTGATGAGATGTCTCAGGTGAGAAATACTTTGAAGTCTGTACCTGAACATTTCTCTTAACCCTTTGGAAACTTTTCTACCATGCCTGCCAGTGACTCTAGTGCTCCCTAATTCATCCCTTCCCCTGTAAAAATATTCCAACAAATGAAAGTATACAGTGGAGAGAGAAGATATTAATTTGTCTGTTTGTCTCGAGTTTGGGACAAAGAGGTAACTTGAGTTTCCTAAGAAGATTGCTATCTAAGAACTTCCGGTTTCCCGTTCTACCGCTGAGCTATATGCAATGGAAATCCCACGGGTGTGTGAACACAGCGGTAAAACGTCAAGCATGCTTGAGGGAATAAGTTCTTGCCAGCCGCGCGCCAATTATCCCGTGTATGCTATAACAAAGCCTCTAGGGGCCTTGGTGAGGAATAGCTTTTTTAGGGCGCAAAACCTTGAAATAGAAATATTTATCTTCTACTTCTATGGCTGTCTTTTACTTAGACTAGAACAGCAAGCGTTGCACTTGGTGGATACAATTAAGTCATTGGGCTCCAAAGTCCATCAAATGATGAATGACGAGGACGAACTAGATACTAGGCAACAGGTCAGCACTCATCATGTGGAGTTCTTGGTCAATATGAGCCGAGCTATGCGACGAAGGGACTGGGCCTGGTTTGAAATCGCTGAAACTGAACTGCAAAAATTGTATGTATTAAAATCATTGTCTTGATTTTTGCTGCAATTGATTAATCCTTTCATAGAGGCTTGATTTAGGTTTATCAAAGGAACTTCATCGGTCGCGACTTGTAAATGGAAGTGGGAGTGGAGAATTGGAAAATGAGATTTGGGAAACAGATTGGGAAATGGAAACTGGAAAATCAGGAATGGGGACTGGAGAATGAGGATCGGAAATAAAAATGGAAAAAAATTAGGAACTTAACGCATGCATTGCAAACCTACTTTTGTTTGTTCTTTCCACTGTGGTTCCCGTCCATTCTTGCTGGCTATGGACCTTAAGATTCCAAGTCGAGTAGGAATAACAGCTAATGATTTTCAATAATAGAATAGCGCGAATACCAGTTCGAAATTTACCAACACAACATCAGTGAACAAGTTTTTGCTAATATGGAGTAGGTGCAAGAAAAATGAAAGCCATCAATGAGTTAGCACTTCGTTAGTTTACAATCCGAAAAGGACCCAAAGTTGTTCAATGACTGTGTAAAAGTTTTTTAGTCCTGAAGAGCGCAAGAAAGCTTCGCGGAGAATGTATTTACCTGCTATTTCGTTGAACGGGTGAATTCAAATCTAGTGGTGCAGCTACAAAAGCATTTAAGAAGTACGAAGAGATAATTTTTATACCAAGACCGCTACCACCCCACCAAAATTTGCTTATTGAATTCATCCTCATATCTGTGTCATTCGTTTTCTTACAGCTGCTCCGGAGATGGTCACCAGGCAGACGCGGTCCTCCAGGCTGTGTTTCTTAAGATAAAAAAGTCATTACCAGGCCCATCAGAGAGTTAAAGTTGGAACCGACGAAATCTCTCGATTTTGTTGCAAACCGTGTCATGTGACAGCGATGAAAAATGACGACGTCATTTAAGAACAAGCCCGCTATTTTTTGGTGTGCTTCTATTGCATTAAGTAAAATAATACTATCGACATGCTTTGCTGTACTTGCTTGCCTGAAGTACTTTGCATTCATACGTTATGTAGCGTTTTAGCCACTTACAGATGTCGCTTCCGAGAAAGATGAAAAATGAAATGAAACGTTGTTGCGTATTGTTGAGTAACTGTGATGCTACGTGCCCTCTGACTGGTCAAAGATCTATTGCCTACTTTACTAAACAACAACAAAATTACATTTGACAGATGACAGGGAATTAACAATTTGAATTATTTTGTTAAGAAAATCCGCTTTGTGAAGAAAACAATTTTTTGATCCCTTTTGAGTATAAAGTAATTTCACTTCCTCCAATATATTTCGTACCTCTCGCGCTGTGATTTCATGGCTAAGCCATGAATGATATTAAAGCTTGGACTTATATAAGAAAACCAGTTGTTGAGGTATTCAAAGAAAAACGAACCAGACAAGAAGAAGGTTAAGAATGACTGCCATAGTTAAAATATTTTACAGATTGACGTTGCAAAGATTTTTCTATATTCCTAGGTCTTTATTGTAAATAATTAATGCTTGAACTCTATGTGTCTCTGGAAATATAATATACAAATTGAATTGACAAATAAAATATACCTCTTTATGCCTAACGATGTATTTTTGTCGACGCTTGTTTCCCCGGAAACATAGTCGTATGCCAACTAATAGGGACCTCGCGTTGGGACGACGTCGCGCGCCTTAAAATGATGCAATGCGCTTGCTTACTTAAAAAACCTGAATCTAAATCACGCGTTACGTATAAATCCTTTTGCGCCCTCCCTCTAGAGTAAAGTTGTTACGAGGGTCACATTTTTTATCTTTCTTGTATAACAATGAGGATCAGAAAGAGGCGGAGGTCTGGTAATGACTGCACCCAATGTCCTTTTGTCATGCCAGGAGCCCATTACGAATAATAGGCTACTGGTCATGCTCATTCCGACGCTCCGTCTAGAAAACTTTGAAGCAGCGCTCTATTAGGAGCGGATTTTTTCATGGAGTGGCGTTCAACTAACATGGTATCTCTCAGGTTTGATGACAAGAAGAGCTAACAGTAAAACACTGAAAACAGGAGCATTTTGAAAATGTCACCTACTTCAGTTTTGTCGGAAAAATATGTCGACGGATTTCTAGGAAAATCATAGCCGGGAAGCAGTGGCGTCCGGAATCGGACAGGAGCGCTCGCCCAGCGAGACGATTGCGTGCGAACTTACACAATAGTGTCCAAAATCTGACAGATGCGTCTGATTCGGAAAATTGCCTCCGGAATCCGACGATGACCTCCGACAGAAGCGTTCGGAATCGGACGATAGCGTTCAAAATCGGATGGCAGTGTTCGAAATCGAACGGAAGCATCCGAATTAGTGTCCGGAACAAAATCGGCATTGGATGTAGGTATGAACCCACACGCTTCCCAAGGATCACAAAGACAGGTAACTGGATTCATATCAAATCAATAGTCGGTTGTATGATTCTTTTTTACAGAATCAGATTACTCCATGGTCAATTTTACGAAAGCTCAAACTACTTCTTAGAGAAGCTGCTTTGTTAAAAAACTCGCAGTAACTGTAGCACACTGGAGTGTAAATTCAGTACGCCCGCCAAAGGTAAACTTCCGTTTCCGGTCAAGTTCTATCATTTAACAGCCAATGAGAACTCTTGCTCGTGGTTAGCACATCGATTTGAAAGAACCCATCATAATGTTTACGTCCATTTCTAACTTTGTGGGTAAATTTCGTCGTTTTTCTCGGCGATGTTGTCTTATTAATCTCACTGGGAGATGCATAGCTTCGTCTAGTGTAAACAACAACCGTTCTGAGAGGAATTCTGTGGTATTTTTGAGAGCAAGAGAATATAAAGACCGAGTTGCGATCGTTGATTCGAATGGAAGCCACTCTTACGAGCGTATTCTATTCTTGAGTCAAGCAATTGGGAATAGCATCTTACAGAGGATCAGAGGAAGAGACCTTTCTGGCCGCTGTGTTGCTTTTCTCTGTCCAAACGACGTTTCGTACGTAGCTACGCAATGGGCGATCTGGAGAAATGGCGGCATTGCAGTTCCTCTCTGCAATTCTCATCCTACAAGCATGTACGATTACATGATACAAGACTGTAACGCCGATTTAGTCATATCGTCCAGTGATTATGCGCCTAAACTGGAACCACTAGCTAGGGGACAAGAAGTCACTATTATGTTTTTGACAGATGTCGATCAAGTCTTAACGTCTGCTAATCAGATGTTGTCAAGTGAAGAGCTCACTGCAGTGGAAATGACAGAGCAATGCTGGGATGAGCGTGATGCAATGATTGTGTATACAAGTGGAACCACAGGACAGCCAAAAGGTGTTTTGTCCACTCATGGAAATTTGAGGTTAGTTAGTGTTTGGACCAGTGGGCAGACTTAACTCATATACAGAATACTGTTGAGCTAATCTAAAGGAAAGCTGTTACTTATCTTGTCATAAACAAAGGAGAACAAAAACACTCCAGACCTTTGGATTCTGCACTTCAATGTTGTACCACACAATAAATATAACGTAGAAAGCAACCAGGCCCTCATTATTAGTGCTGCAGGAGGAGTGCTTCACCCATAAGACAATTTTAGAACAATGGGGGAGGGGAAGGGGTTTGCTAATCATTGCCAGACCATGCACAGACTTCTCATGCGAGAGAAAAAATGCTCGCACCAACAGGCTACCTATAAGGGCCTGCCTGCAGCTTAGAATAACAATCTAGATCATTACAAGCCTATAACTACTCTCTTTGTCTCATACTTGTTATTAGTCTGATGAATAACATCTCTTTTCATATTCCACAAGCAAGCTCAAAATTTACTGTCATTTTAGTTCTATACACTTACTAAACAAGTTAGTATTGGTAACAACGTGATTTTGAGTGTTTTTTGATGGTGATAAGCACAAGTAATTTTTTCAAAAATGACAAAATTGCAAGAGCCCACAGGGTGAGTGCAATTTGTAGTCTTTGAGAAATGAGAAATCATGTTGTTACTTGTTAATAATTTACATGGAAAAACATATCATAAAAAGTCAAGAAAGACAAAATTTTGGCAGGATGCACACACCATTTGCTATTTGTACTTGTGTTAAAACTCTACAATCACTTTCAAAGAGTATTCATTTTCAGGTAATCAAACACATAATTTTTTCATGTATATTATTAGGTTTGAAATTACCATTTCTCCTTCTAAATAAGTGAGTGTGATTGTATTTAATTACCCGACTATCAGCACCACTTAAATTTGCATTATTTTGTTGCATCAGATCACAGATTACTGCTTTAGTCAAAGCATGGGAATGGAAGGCAGCTGACTATATTATCCACTGTCTTCCACTTCATCATGTCCATGGCATAGTAAACGTCCTTCTTTGCCCTTTGTGGGTTGGAGCCACATGTCACATGTTACCAAAATTTATGCCTGACAAGGTAAATAATTAAAAAAAAGGTAGTGCTTATTCTCCTTGCTGACTGCATAAATTTGTTGTCTCTTTACATTAGAAAGCTGGTAGTTAACTGCAACATATTGTGGTAGGAGTTTCATAAATTTTGCTGTTATTGTGCTGAGGAATTACACTCACTATAAATTGACCAGAGTTAGCTTGAATCTTACACAACTTTCATCAGTTTTAGGTAGCAAACTGAAAAAGATTTTATTTTAAGGAAACTGTCCAAAAGTTAAAATATTTTATTGTATGACCCAAACAACTTGATGAGCATTTAACATAAAAAAAAAACTTAAAAAGTGTCTGCCACATGATCATATAGTTTTAATTCACTTTAGGACAAGACATGAGGCACATCCACAAAGAGGAGGAGTTTAAATTCAGGGGGAGCACCTATCTAATTGGGGGGAAGGGGGAAGGGAGTCCAAATTCATGGGGGAAAACAGCTATCTCATTGTTCTGAAAAAACTTGCAATAGGGTGAACAGGGCTGCATAAAGCCACATGACACAGTGTAAGGTCTACAAGGTAAAAGAACTTGGAAGAAGGAGATAGATGGAAATTATAGACAAAGCGGCAGTCTTGTAATTAAAGCTGGTCAACTGAGTTCAATCACACATGTAGAAGGAGGGAAATATTTGAGCTAAACTGGGTCCTAACATCATGAGCTCTTGCTTAGTTAAAAAGTAAATATGAATCAAGAGATTTTAAACATGCATGATGAACATAGCATAGAGTTATCTCTCCATATTCATACACAGGTGTGGGATATCCTAACCAGAGATGAGCCACACCCATCTTTATTCATGGCTGTTCCAACAATTTACAGCAAACTGATAGAGCACTATGGAAAAGAGAACCTGACAAAAGAAGAGAAGGAGAAAATAAGATTTAGATGTGAACAACTCAGGTAGATTTAATTTGTGTTCTTGTTCTTTTTCTGGAATTCCATTTTTTTTTTCTGTATAAGCTGCTCTTCAGAGACAAAACAATTATCATGATCTAGTATTTAAGTTTTAAGATGGTTATTGTATTCTTGTAAATGTTCAATGTTAACCCTTCAACTCCCATGATCTAAATCTTAATTCTCCCCAATACTTGCGACACATTTCCTTGTAAATTAGTGACAAGTGTTTGGTTTTAGATTAAGATAAAAACTTGTACCTGATAAGTATAGGTATTCTCATTACCTGCTTGGTGGATTAATGTATGGATATTATAGAGAGAGGTTACATGTTAATCACTCTGGGAGTTAAAGGGTTAATGAGTTTGTGTGTTTGTTTGTCTATGACTTCAAACTGCGGATAACAGATTAATGGTGTCTGGTTCAGCCGCTCTCCCTGAGCCTGTCATGAAAAGATGGAAGGAAATAACAGGTAAATATGACCCTTTAGAATATCACTACTTTAAAATCACATTGAAATCCAACATTCCTTTATCTGACAAAATATATCATTCCCCTTGTCTTGTGGGTGGAACAAGGAAAAATGAAAAGCTTCCTATTAAGAATCAAACCCTAAACCTTTAGATTCCACACCCTAATTCACCACTATTGTGCAACAGACACTTCTATAATAAGCTGGACCATTTATCCTTTACATCCAAACATCAATATGCATATTCTCTATACTGTTCACTACACATTTTCCAAGGTGCTGACAAGGAGAATTTGTATAATAATCAGGAGTATTTTTTAGTTGGTGATCATTTCCTTTATTCTCGTGACTTCCATGTGTGATTCTAGAGAGATATTGTAAGGAGAAATTAGATGCTAGTCACTCTAAGTTGTCAAAGGATTAAGTTTTAATCAAAGAAATCATTGTTGCAGTAAATCTTACCAATCATGAAATACTGAGTTCACACATCCAAAGCCGATTCCAACAATCCCTGAAAATCCTTTTGGAACCTTGAAAAAATACGGTTAAAAACCTTAAGGCCGACAAAATCCCCTCTTCCCTCCCCCCCCCTTACGTTGGTAAGAATATAGGAAACGTCCAACATTGGTAATGAAGAAATGGGGGAGGACGGCCATAATAGATAGTGAGCAGGTCCTTAATCTTAGCGCTGCAGGACGCGCGTTTCTCCGCCCGTGTGAAGATTTGAGACGAGTCAAGAAGAGGTTTTGTCAGTGCTATACCTCTTGCAATCCTCTCGCAGGTTCGTGTCACTTAAGGCCTCATTCTTGCCCGCAGGCGAAGAAGCACTTGTGCTGAAGTAGTAATAAAAAGGGCTTGTTCGAAGGCTAAAACAATTGTCTCATTTTCGTTTGGATTTTGGATTCAAATGTGACCAGCATTCCGTATATTGTTATAATTGGCATTGTTAAAAATTCGTATGAATAAAAAGAATACGGAACATATTAAAGATGCTTATCTATGTTTACTAAAGGACATACACTGTTAGAAAGATACGGAATGACAGAGATTGGCATGGCTCTATCGAACCCTCTGCGTGGACCAAGATTAGCGGTAAGATGTAACAATCATCTAGCCAATCATATAGTGAGTATAATAATACACGCATTTTGATTGGTTCCTCTCCCTGTTCTATTGAAAGGCAGACTTAGAAATGACGTTACCATTAAAACTTTCTGCCTACTGATTGTAGAAAACAAATAGATTTCATGTTGTTCCATGTGTTTAATAATAGATCAGAGATGACTTCGAAATGTGGTGTAGCGTATAGCGTCGGAATAAGTCTTGTGTAAGGCGTGAAGAAAAACTCAACAGAGGTTTATTTTCAGATAATATATCGACTCCAACGTGAAACATGAAACGAGGCTGACAAGCGACAGCGTGAAGACTTACCGCATTCATCTGGGAGCTATCACTGAAAAGTCGCACGGCGACATGGAATCCATTGGCCAAATAGAGTTGAATACTGTATAATAATCTCACACATAACTTTATCATGTGACTACTTATTTAACCGATAAAATGTTGTGTCAGCGCAGGGCTCTGTGGGAACCCCTTTACCTGGAACAGAAGTTCGGGTTGTCACAGAGAACGTGGATGGTGAAAAAGAGGTACGTGAATTTTTCATCTTCATATTTGTATAAACCAACAGTTATTGGGTTGCAAATTTGAAATTTTTTTCCAATTCCCGTCAATCAGGTTATAGCTGAAGGGAACGAACATGGATCTCATGTTTCGTCTTTCAACGAAGGCCGAGAAGGAGAGTTTCAAGTTCGTGGACCATCAGTGTTTAAATGGTTGGTCTCTATCTCAGCATAAACTGCGTGTTGGTTTTCCACAGCAGTCAACGAAGTATAATTAGTAGAAGGAAATAGGTTGCTGGTTGTTGGCTTATACGGATACATTTGTTTATCTAATTATTTTAACCCTTTACAACCTAACATTTGTATTCGTATTATCAAAGCTGTTCTCTCTACATTTCCTATGGTACTGACAAGGTGACTGTTTGAGTAACAATCAGAGTTTTTCAGGTTGGCTATCATTTCCTTTATTCTCGTGATCGTAATGAATGATTAGCAATATTAAATTAGGGAGAAATTCGATGCTGGTCTCTCCTAGGGTTTAAAGGGCTAAGACACGGGGATGTACACTTTAGGCTGTTGGGTATTGTCAAGTAACATCTGCGTACCAGACTGCCTTTCTTATCTGCTGAAGCTAATCTCGGTTTCTGTGGTATGAATTTGCTAGGGATATTTCCATCTCCCAGTCCACGATATGGATGTTACTCCAAGGCAGAGTGCAGCCCTGCATAGGGCCAACATCCTCGGCATTTTAGGAGGTTGTTCAGACATGCTCTTCTCTGGTTTTGAGATAAACCGCACTAACCAGGGTTAGACTTTGTACAATCACGTGAAGCTTCTATTTACCACACGAGAGTGTACACTTTTCAATTTACATCATTGTATCATTTTCCGCCAGTTACTGGAATAAACCCGATGCTACAAGAGAAACCTTTACAGAGGACGGCTGGTTTAAAACAGGCGACACTGCTGGTAAATAAATAGCTCCTGCTTTAAGTCTCAGAGCGAAGTTTTTTCTCCTCCGATTTATGCTTGCAGATATTTTTCCTTCTAAAATAAACGTCAGAATTTTTGTTGCGCTCACTTTCCAGCTTATGCAAATGGAGTGTACAGCATTCTGGGAAGGACGTCGGTAGATATCATTAAAAGTGGAGGATACAAGATCAGGTCAGAATCAAAATGCATGCTGGGAAGCAGAGTTTTGGTCGGCCTAGTGTCAGTTACCCGCGTAAGTTTAACGCGGTGGCCTGGGTTTGATTCCTGCCCTGTTTCGAGGATTTTTTCTAGTTCCTTCCTCGCTCTGCATAATCCCATACTTCAGGTTTCAATTCTGCTTGGAAATATAGAACGAAGGGCCACTTTTTTATGTAGCGTAGAAGCTTGTGCCAAAATACAATTTGCTTCGATGGATTTGAGTTTGTAGCCAACATTTGTAGCCAAATTGGGCTGTTAAGCAACCCGAAAATTCTTGGCGGTTTCTAGTGTAACGTTGTTGACATATTTTGGTGAAGGTTTGGTAGAGATGAGAGACGTTCTATCGCTTCGATTTGTGTTGAATTGCTTCTTATTGTTCTCCTGACGCCGAGTGATTTTTATCAGCGGCACTAATACATTCCAGGACTACTTACCTATAAATGAGAATTTTTCTTAGACTGTTGTTGAATTAAAATGTGCAATTTTTCTTGTGAACGTTTTTCCCTGCAGTGCTCTTGAAGTTGAGCGACATCTCTTATCACACAATGACATTGTAGACTGTGCTGTGTTGGGCAAACCTGATCCCGTGTGGGGAGAGCGTGTGGCTGCAATTGTCACGCTGAGCCCTGGCAAGGTGTGCATCTGTCACCTGTATTGAAAAGTAGGCAGTCCAAGACTGCATGTGGCTACTGATGCAACACAATGTATATAGCAATGAAAAGAACAGAGGTTGAGTTATGAGGCTAGAGGGTACAAATCAAAAATTGGATTCTGGTATTCAAAATATAAAATCGAAGAGCGGTGTCTAAAATTAAAATTAGGACACTTGTTTCCAAAGTCAAAAATCGGGCACTATTGAAAATTGATAAGGAGGCAGAAGCCTCCACCACAGAAATGCTTGCTCAGAAAGTGATCTAGAAAAGTCATCTACTCATCTGCGACAAAATCACCTTTTTCAAATCCTGGCTTGTCAGCCTTTACTGGCTGAACAAGGCGTTGCATTTTCATTCTTTTCGTTTGTCATTTTTTTTTTTTAGCTTATGATTTTTCTCTGCTTGTTCGCACATAGAAATTGAGTCTTGAGGACTTGAAACGATGGTCCAGCGGTTTCATGGTTCCGTACCAGATTCCCTCGGTCTTGTTGGTGGTCGAGGAGTTGCCACGGAACACTATGGGAAAAGTGAATAAAAAAGAATTAAGAACAGTGTACTTTGGTAAGGAATGATAGGAAACATGAATGAAACTCGATTTAGTTGAGCTTTAAGAACAAGAATATTTGAGACGATTAGAAACTGAAGCTCTGAATATACAGTAAACGGTTTGGTCATGAACTTGTGTTGGTTGGTCATCCAAGTGAGAGTAGTCCTGGGCAGGACTGTTGCCGGCGATGCTTACTGCTGACCTTTTGACAACCTAA